CTGTCTGTGTGAACGCGTCCTTACGCATGCGTGCGCGCGGCCTACCCACTGCTGCACTAATGCGTGTCAAGAACAGAAAGGCAGACGCGGAAGTGGAAGATGCCGCAGCAGTTTGGAGAAAAACAAAGTTAAAGTAAAAAAAAAAAAACGACGCATCGACTATTAAATTAGTTGTCGACTATTTTAGTAGTCGACATAATCGTGACTAGTCGACTAATCGTGGCAGCCCTAGAAGTGATGCGTATAAGGTTGCAGGAGAAGGGGTGGGCTAATAAGTGTATACTTCTGCCCACTCCTTTCAGTGTAAGAACGTTATTTTAATGTTTGTTACCTTCTGTTGTGTTCAATAAAATTTATTAAAATAAAAAAATGCAGCTTCAACTACATTTAATCTCAGTGAATTTCATTAAGACATTTCTTAAAGTTTAAAAATAATATTGGTAACAAAATATCTCCAGTTTCAAAGACTAAGGCAGGGCTGCCATGCCGTGCCACCAGCCCCTCTAATACATTATTATAAATCTAAGCTGCCACAAATATATWATCAAACTCTTTAATGGCACATTTGGCCTAACCATTGAAAGCATGGATAAAATAATAAATATGAAACCTAGAAAATACATTTAAAACATGTTGAGTTAAAAAAAACGCAACATTGCCTTGCTTACAGTATCCCTACATATCGCAAAATATTGTATTGTGAGCCGTGTCATGCTTCATATGTAYCATATCACCAAATTCTTGCCAATACAATGCCCTATAAAATACTAGCATTCATCTGGGGGCTTAACTTGTTTTGTCAGTGAACATACACTGACTTTGATAAAGACATTTTTAAATTCAATAATGGATTCACCTGCGTTATTTTTAAAACCTTGGTGCTCTAAAACTTTGTCTGACTACTAAAATGTATGTAGGCCTCAAGTATGTTTTATCTATTTTTAATTCTCAACTTGACAAATTGTGTGTGCTGTTGACATTGCTTTAAACCAATTAGGAGCACCCTCTWATTGGACAGAAAAATGTAACAAGTCTTTTTTTTAAATGACAGCAGCTGCCAGTTTGACTTATGCACAACGATAACATACACACTTACATGTTAAGTACCACCAACTGTTGGCTTGTTTTTATTTAACAGCGCTCAGTGCGAATTTGTCTCCACAGCTTGTTTCCTGTGTGTGTGTGTGTGTGTGTGTCTGTGTGTGTGTGTGTGTGTTGGTTGTTTTTTATTTAATTTTTTTGGGGGGCTAGGCTGTTACAAACTTTTTCCCTCATTTACGCAGTGCATAACTGCAGAACCAGTTTGCAAATTTCAAGCATAATTTGCATGCCTTTCCCAACAGTGTTGATGGCAGCTGGACAGAGCTGGTGTTACCYCAAGTGTACTCGCTTCTCTTTTAAGAAGCTTAGTCAGGTCTGAAGTCAAATGGATGCCTTCTGTGCAAAGCACCAACTTCTTATTTTTATATGTTCTGATGGCAAAATAGTGAACTTATGCTGCCACAGTCAGTGAGTGATTAAAGTGTCTTGAGTTTGTACAAAATGTAAAATGATTGCGTTTAAACAAAGCTTAATGTTATKAACAGTCATCAACTTTTAAAATAACTATTTTGAACTTTTTGTGAATGTGTATAACCAACCACAATTCAGTTTTTTTTTTAACTGTGTACTCTGCACCTGTGACAGTTGAGACAACGAGCWTTGTAACTGCCTCTTCTTGAAACCTGCTAGTCGTTGTTTTTCTTTTCTTTTTTTTTTCTGTGATGAAGGCCAACCTTAGGTCTACCCAGTCTTTGTCTAGTCTTTAGCGGTCTGCATGCAGCCACTCTGTTTACAGCTGCTCAGAGGTGTTAATTAAAAGCATCACAGATAATCTTGGTTGTCATAAAAAGAAAAAAACACAGAGGCCATTTTATGTGCTCTTGGGATTGTTGCCAAGCACAAAAAATAAATTCAGAATTTAGAGTAGGTTCYTGAATTTATTTGACAGTGACACTGTGGTTGGCAGGTGGCAGTGTGTTAGATTGGTGGGAGTAAAACTGAAATAGTTGTGTTTTTTTAGCAATGGCCTCATGTAGGATAGGAGCAGTGCATGTAGAAAACTTTGTTTGACTAAAATGAATGAGAAACACACACAGCTACGTAGAACCTATGGACAGTGGCTGATTTTCAGACGTTTGCAGAGATGAGATAAATWAGATTGATTGGATAAAATCAGCTTTAAGTATCAGTCAATCACCCAAAATTAAGAAAAATTGGGACCAATAAATCAGCCATCCAATTTATTGGTGCACCCCTATTGARTTAACATTTTTATAAATTGTACTTGGAATAATGGTGAAGTTGAGTCAAAATTTAAAACGGGGAAAACATAGTCCTCAGGCTCAYTTCAGTGACCTGTGTAAAAATGGAGCAGTTGGATAAGGGCAAAAAGTTTCAGGTTTGAAATAAAAAATAGCGTGGGACTGAAATGCTGGAACCTATTGACTCTTTGCCCACCCTTTAATCCTCACCTTGTGACTACTGCCTGTAACGTGGTGCCAAAGTCCGAGTCTCTTACCACCCACTGCTCTGTGTACGCAGCCGGTGTCGTGATAGCCTGCCCTCATCCCGTCCCCCAACCCCCACCCCCCACACACACACACCTCCCTCGAATGCTGCCCTAAGACAGTTCCAGCCAGTTTGTGGCGGTTGGGTTTAGACTGTCAAGGACTTGGCAGGCGTTCGACTGCTCCGAAACTAGTTGCAGACCAGACATTACCTGTTCTTTTGAGTGACTCTGTTCACGTTTCCTGCTGTTCATATTATTAGTTTGCATTTAGGTGACAGGTGGTGAATTTACAGCATTATAATCAAAAGGTGAAGTAATTTTAAGTGTTGAAAAGTAGAATTTTCCAAAGCTTCTCCAGACTCATGTTAAGGTAAATGCAGGTTACATAATTGCGCAAGTCAGGAAATTTTTTAGAAGCTGCGAGAGGGTGTGTTTCAGAGGTAAAATATAAAAAAGGTCTTGCAAATTGAACAAAATATGCATAAGTCAAAATCCAGTCTGTTTAAATCGATCATGTTACAGTGGGTATAAGATTATATTATAAATTTACATTTGCCACTAAAATGTTCTGCCCAATTAAATCAGACTGAATTGCTGCTGTCAAATGTCTTCCATATGATGGTGCTGGGTTCTTTGTTCTGGCAAATGTAGTGCAGGTAAACATCTTAGGTCTTTTTTAATTTAGGTAAAACTGGCAATTCAAACACAGTTAARGGGTGACCTTTTTGTAAACACGAGTGCATGTGTTGACCGTAGCATGGGGACAGACTGTTCTCAATTAAAAATCAATGAAACATGTCTGAAATTGTTAATTAAAWTTTTTTACTAGCTTGAGTCTCAGTAATTCTTGGAAAATTATTAAACAAGTTGAGAAATTCCTGCGCATATTCCTTTTTATTTTTATCGTTTGTTTATATAAAGGACAAGTGTCAATTATTAACAAATACCATAGAATACAACATTTATAGCCTGGGCTAATTTGCAATGCCAACCTAGATTGGGCTTTGACAACATAAAAACAAACAGTTTAAAAAGAATAAAACTAGGGATGTCCTTGTTTTCTCAGAGTACAAATACTTCAGTTTGGGTACTTGCCACTACAGAGCACCGGTACCGAATAAGTACTTGGAACCTAAGCATTATACAGTGACTATAAAGACACATTTCTTTTATTTAGAACAAGGTGGGTCTCCTTCCTTTATAGACCTACAGCCCCCCTGACTAGAAATATTATCACATGATATGCTGTTGCAACATTTTAAAATAAATAAAAACAACAAATACAATTTTCATTGAACTTGTACGTCTGTGAAGCATGGAACTGACAGACTTTTCACTTGACGTTCAAAAAGGTATCAAATGTGGTCTCAATACTGGCTCCAAATATCAGAGCGTTTTCATCAAGTGTAAAATGCTGGTATTATTGGGACACCGCTAAACTAAACATTGCATTATATTTACACCTATAGTTATATTTAGCAACTTTTTAAATGTAAAAATCAAATTCTGTTGGAATTTAACGTTATCATTACTGCAACACACTTTATAAAATGTAATAATTACTTAAATGGGTGATACTTGTCCATGTTATTAAACATTCCAGCTACTCAGTGAAAAACATTTTATTTATTTTTATCTTTTTATGAAGTTTCTTTCTTATAGATAGTAAAACAGAATTTAGTTAGTCACTTGTTTCTTCTCTCTTCCCAGGGTTTCTGTGTTGACTTCAACCGTACCTATATGGCGTGTGTGACCGGAGAATTCTGCCAGGCACAGCACCTCACCTCTGTGGAGAAGTGAATCGGCCGCCCCGTCAGGGACTACGCTACCCAGAAACCCCCTTGATTTGCAGCACAAAAGGAACTGCTGACTTTTTCCAAAAGACCTCGTGGGATATTGCGTAGTCCTTGGCCTGACAGCACCGTCCTGTCGCAACCAATACGAAAAAATATTTGCTTTCTACTTTCTCCTTTAATAGCCAATCACAAACAGCTCTCCTGAATGGGGTAAACTCATTGGATGACTCCTGGATAGTGTCATCTTTTTTTTTTAAATTTCATTTTTAAAATTGTTTGTTTTTCCCCCCCTCACATCCCAAAGTTTTGTGGATTTAGTTTTTTTTAAATCTTGTGTTCATCATCCCACAGACTTGACCCATCCTTCACGTGTTGTCATTTTTATTTATTCTACCCCTCCCTAAATGTACAAATCTCCTAGCAGTCTTTGCTGACTTCTGAGCCAAAAGTCTTTTTTTGTAAGAGTATTTTATTGTAATTGTTTTTTAAAGCCGTCTTGCCAACATGAACCGCCCCGCTGCAGTCGAGATTACCTACGAGTGCATGAGGTTCCTCATCACCCACAATCCCACCAATGCCACGCTCAACAAGTTCACAGAGGTAAGAAAGCTCCGTCGTCTTTAGGCATCTTTGCTGAAATGGCCTTCTAATGGTAAATCCTTTATTTAATGTTTCTCAGGAGCTGAAGAAGTTTGGGGTGGACACACTGGTGAGAGTTTGTGACGCCACCTACGATAAGGCTCCAGTAGAGAAAGAGGGGATACAAGTATTTGTAAGAGTCCAAGCCCAGATTTTCCTTTTTTCGTGACAGCTTTCCTCACTCACACTGAGTGACTCATTTTGATTTTGTGCTTTCTCTTCTCCAGGACTGGCCCTTCGATGACGGAGCCCCTCCTCCCACGCAGATTGTGGATGACTGGCTCAAGCTGCTCAACACCAAGTTCCGAGAGCATCCTGGCTGCTGCGTTGCTGTGCACTGTGTGGCAGGCCTAGGCCGGTATGCGTGTTTTATTATAGTGTTTTAAAAAAATTCACACTAATGTGTCCCCTGCTTCAAAGCCAGCTGGTCATCCTGATTCATCACTAACACAAACTGCTACATGCATATGGAAAGAGCATGAAAAGCATTTGTTCATTCATTCGTTTGGTGTTGCAGATTTGAGCTCATTGGCTCACTTTTTTTCTCCTTGGGGTTAGAAATCAGCTTCTCGCATCTAATTCATCCCATTTGGCTGAGCTTCTTGTACAGCTTTTATTGGCCAGACAAGAGCCCAATTTAATTGCTTTTAACAGTGACTTCTGTTGAGTGGGGTCAGTGAGTTCACACACACACACACGGCCAAAGGAAGCACTGACTTGTTACGGGTGTCTGAAAAGTCTAATCTTGTCGTCTGGCAGGTTTACCGCTTGTTGCTTCTTCAGTACTGATTACACAGCTTGGGCCGATTGTGTCTTGTCATCATAAATGCACACCAGTTCCATCTATCCTGAACTTTTTTTGTTTCTCTCTTTCACTCGTCTTCGTAAACGCAGCTGTTTAGATGGTCTATCTTTAGTAACAGTTAGTTCCTCCTTCTGATTAAAAGCTGAACTCTGATGCGATGTGAAGAAACGCACCGTTGTGTTCGCACGGCGGCGCGACAGTTAGTTACTGTGGAGTTGCGTTGAGCAACACAAGTGTGAAAACAATGCAGGCAGAAGCACACAATGTGGGCGAAGTAGTGTGAAAATGTCTTTCCTGACCACAAGTGCACAGTGAGCCCCTCCGTTCTTCAGTGTTTTGCGTCGCTGTGACATTCCAGTGGTTGTATAATTGCCTGTATCGGTCAGATTGGCATTTTCTGAATTGTACCCCCCCGTGCTTTAAAATAGGTGGTAGCAAGCAGCACCTATGTGCTGTTTTTCCTCCTTCCACACATTTTCCTCCCGTTTTCTCCAGTCTGGTTTCACATACTGTTCCTTAATGAATTATTGCACAAGAAGAGCAGCGTAAGGAAATGCTAGTGCTTAGACGTGATCTGCCAAGCAGGCTTGAAAGCTCTTATATTTACTTTTTCCCACTATCTTCCCTCTGGTGAGAAAGACTAGACTCTTACTGTAACCTATCGCAGTTTTATATGTTTGTTATGTGTGTGGGGCACTGAGTGTGAGCACAGCACCTCAGCAGGGCACCTGTGAACTTGTGCACCTCCTGTTGATTTCCCAGGCCTGTTTCCCAGGTTTAACCTTCATCCCATCCCAGATTTCACCACCACATTACTATGGAGCTCTCTACCTTTGGTATTTAATCTGCATATCTCTCTCTCTTCTTGGTCTCACCATCTACTTGAACCGGACTGGTGGATTTCTTTACATCTCAGAGCTCCAGTCCTGGTGGCCTTAGCCCTCATCGAGGGAGGAATGAAGTATGAGGATGCCGTGCAGTTCATAAGGCAGTAAGTACTTTTGAAACTTTTTACTTAATGAATATTGTGTAGGTTCAAAATGTATAATTATTATTTTTTTCTTGGTTTAATCTTTAAAAAGCCAAACTGGGTGTGCGTTAGTCAGTCTTAAACATGGTGATTGTTGCCTTTGGGCTGTTGGGTTAATATTTTCTGTTGACAAGCTTTTTAATGATTGTCCCCAACAAAGCAATTTATTTTTTTTCTACGTTTAAGTTTGGGTCTTCCTAACTGGTCCCATTTTTGCCAGGAAACTACCATGAAGCCACCTTTATTGAGTCACTTTATAATATATTTTTTAAAAAGTGCTTAAACGATCCCTGGAAACCTTTGTTTCAATATCATTATTTTAATGTATAACCAGGGGTGCCCAAACATTTTCCCTGAGAGGGCCAAAATGAAAATTGATTTGAGGGCTGCGGGCCAAATGCAAACATAATACATGAAATGCAAATACTTCTTAGTAAAGTTTTTTTTATTAAGCTAGCAGGCTGTGCGGTGGCCTACACCTTTTTGTTTATTTATTTGTTAGCCAATGGACACAGAAAATTTGACAAACTCAAGCAGCAAGTATTTGTGGTCTTATACAGTGTTCAAATCTAGATGTGTGCTTTAATCTAATGTTTCTTGTATTTGATGTTTAAACYTAATATAATTCAAAAAGAAAGTAAGTGCCATGAGTTAAGACTATCTGCACTACAGCCCTTTTTATATAGTTGGACCAATAATTGGAATGTCTCAGTGAAAATAGTGTTTCTACATAAAACCGGAGCAGTTTGTTTTTGAATCTCCCATCAGGATTTAGAATCTGCTTTTATTAGATATTACACAAGAGTGGGGATACAACAACACCAGATGGTATTTATTAACAGCGTTTTAAATATTTTTTATAAATTTATAAGTATAAATTCCCAAATTTTAGGAAAAATACACCTTTTATTTTTTTACCTAGAATCATGCAAAATGACACATTTGCACAAACTTTGCTGGGAGCCTTCATGCAGATTGACAAAAATACAACTAATCCTCTAGACATGCAGTAAACAAATGAGAGGCTCTAATTGCATACAACTCCTGCAGTGGGAATTTTTTGACATGTTTAAAATTTCAGAGACATGAGAACAAGGCTTCGTGACTCACACAAGAACACGGAGAACTCTTGCAAATGTTTTGAGAAATTTTCGAGGCTGACTTCATAAATGGCATTTTACAATTTGTCAACACATTGAAGGCCCCAATTAAGCAGAGGAACCAGTTCACTGAAAACTTCCCCCTTTGTTTTTTTTATCGTAACTAGTCCCTAGATGCAGTTAAGATACAGGAATTTAAACTATCAACAGGTAAACAAACACATTCCAGAAAAGGTTGTGTGGTTCATGGAGTGTGACTGAGTTACTGAAACGTTTTTTTTTTCCTCTGCTTTTTGTAGGAAGAGACGTGGAGCCTTCAACTCCAAACAGCTGCTTTACCTCGAGAAATACAGACCCAAAATGCGTCTGAGGTTCAAAGATACCAACGGCCACAACTGCTGCGTGCAGTAGGCTGCCCATCAGTGCATCAGTTTAATGTGCATCTAGTCTGGAATCTTCCAACACAAGGAGATTTAAAAAAAAAAAAAAGAAAAAAAAGAAGAGTAATTATTGTGATTTCTAAACAGTGAATCATGGTTAATTGATCAGAGAGCAATGGAACGATCAAACGAAACTAAATCTGGGGATCCACCAGCTGAAACAACGAATGGAAGGTCAAAGCACACAGAAGGGCCCGCCTCCCGGTTCTACTGTACAACCACGGGCCTGATTTTTTCCACGAGTCCATCCTCCTTATATTTTTTTTCTTACTATTTTTATTTCAGTTGTAATTATGGGATAATACCTTCCATTATGTGAATTTTTATTTTTTACACAAATGTCATAATTACTTTTTTAATGTCCTCTAATTATTACAACGATCGGGCCTTTTTAAAGAAAACAAAACATTGAACACTTCGTGACTGTCTTTTATTATTATTTTCAGTTTTTTTTTGTTTTTTTTTTTTGCACAGAACTTGAAAGATTCACCTGAAAAATGCAGTAATGTTTTCCTTGTACTCTTCACTCGCTTTAAGTCACTTTTGAATTAAGGGGTTCACTGAGTGTGAATGTCGATATTTATTCACAAAGAAACGTGTGGCAGTTTTTTAGTTTGGCAGGGTGCAAGGACCAGTAGGTTTATTTTTAATTTTATTTTATTTTTTCATTGTTTGAGCCTTTTTTTTTTTTCCTCCTCTTTGAAATCTTGGAGTGCAATAATCAGTCCACCTCAGATACACTCAAACCCTGTTGAACATCTCACACACACACACATACTTATACATTTCAAACAAAAGAACTGCTCCACCTGGTTTTCCTCCGGTTTTTAATCATTCTACCTACAGAACGAGCGGGAAGTCTCCTCAGGACGTCCCCAAAATATGCACACTTAAACTCGTAAATACAGAGCCTTAGCTCCAATGTGACAGGCAGGGTGGAGAAGAATGAAAATGGTCAGTTTTTTTAATCATTGTACCCATTTTGGAAACATCCCCAATTCGTATTGGTTCTTTAAAAATAAATACATTGAAATAAACAAAGGCATCATGTGTTTTCTGTTTTCAGGAGCTTCATTAGTGTCCAGATTTAGTTGTTAACAAGGGCTGGTGTTACGTGGGATGGAAGCTCCTATTCACTTGAAGCTGATKGTTAATTAAACTACAAATGATTTTTGCCAGCACACGCTCAAACTTTAATTACCACAAACTCCAAGACCTCAAATCAGCATTTTTGGCGTGCCTTTCCTCTTGACATGGTGTGTCCTCAGTAGTGTTTGCTCATCAAGCGTGTCAGTCTGTAGCTGTCCAACGTGTTCTTTTATCCCCACTGGAGGGTGACTCAGCAACACGTGGAAAACACAGGACACTCTGGTACTGTGAAATGACTCACACCCTTCATGTTGATCACAATGCCAGCGAGACAGGAAGCAGCTAAAACCGAGTGCCCTCTGCTGTTTAAACTGAGCCATTACTATGTGAACTGTAAAAGCCTCGGGGAAGTATAAATCCATTACAAATGCAGCATGTTTAGCTCTTATCTGCTAATTTAGGCAAATTGAGCGAGAGGGGGAACTGAACAAAGTGATGTTTGCGTGTTTTCACTGAACAGGCAGCCAACGAGACGTCGGTGCCGTCGCAGAGCCACAAATGAGTTCACAAGCGTTCATTAGGTCAGTGGTGCAGAGCTTACTTTGAATCAAATGAATGTCATTAACCCCTGGTAAACAAATTCTGAAGTGCATCCCCAGCTCTTTATTCACTGATTTTGTTTAGCAGACCTGTTGGAGAGCCACAGGCTTGAGTTTTGTAGCATAATGGTGTAAGAAATCAATGGTGCGCTGACCTCTACAAGGCAAAAACTGGGTCTTCAAAGGCACCAGTATTGTTTGACTTGGTCTGTTTGGAGTTGGTGGATAAACAGGTTACTGATCAACATGGAAACACCGTTTTGGATAACATCTTTAAAGTTATAAAAAGACCAATGACCTCTTTTTTTCCATTGTGTGCCACCTTTTTCCATCAATAGGCGTCACTAAGACCTAAAAGGATCCTGTGACTCAGCATGCAGTCATGCTGAGTCACACATTGAGAGACGGGGATCAAAGCCACAGGCCTCCGCCACCTCTCGCAAAGACGTGGCGGAGGCCTGTGTTTGTCTGTAAACAAGTGAGGAACAACTTGATGTTTGTCTTTAAACTGGCCAGGAGAACAGCTGACGTACATGTGGAAAGGAAAAGTCCACACACACACCGGCTTAATGACAGGTCTTTTGTGATGTTAGAATGTGAGACCACATGAAATCACTTCAAAAATCTTCCATCTTCTATTGTGACCTCTAGCCCGCAGAGTTAAACTGAAACATAATGTAAAATTATGCAACCTTATAAAACAAAAAAAAAAGACTATTTTGGTTAGTTTCACCAAATATAAATGTTTGTGAAGGTATTTTTTGTGCTCAGACGACTTCAGGTCACTTGCAGGTTTTCTTTAAGATTTAGCTCAGGATTTAGGGAGTGGCACATTCCAAAATGTTGATTTTCCTCTGGTGAAGTCACTTCTTTGTTGGTCGGAATGCATACCTGGGCTCATTTAAATTTGACATTTTCAGCTTTTGAGCAAATGCTCAAAGGTTATGGCCAAAAATGGTTGATTTTTTTGACCATGAATAACCTCTCCATGTTAGTCAGAATGAGCTGAAGTAAAGTTGGAAAAACTCCTTTCTGCCCAAGTTTTGTTGTGAATATTAGATATTATCTGCTGCAAGGCAAACTTAGCAAAATATCTCTTTTCCTGGATAGATTTTGATAAAACTTGACGATGAACAAACATCTACTCCACTGATGAACCAGCTAACAGACCTTAGAAAACACACTTACTTATTCAGACATTGAACTCTTATTTGGTGTGTTAGTAGCTGAGAGTTAACCCTGTCAAATACTGCAAAGTTAACTTCGTTCCAATGACTTTGAAATACTCCAGGGGAAAAAAAGCATTAATTGTATGAATGCTTGTCAAGTATTCACACTATTGACACATTTTTCTTCCATATATTTTCAGCACATCTCGTTCTGCAGTTATATCAAAACAATCAGCTCCTCCAGGACCAGTTTATACTTTTTGAGATATTTAGCTTTTTAAGGCCTTTTTTCCCTCATTGAATACAGTAGAACTGTATTCAACACCCTTAAAACCCTTCTAAATGTTCATAAAGCTTTACTGTATTTTTTTTTATCTTTGGTTCTACTTTTTTT